GGATTGACCCCGCACCTGTTTAGTAGGCACCCTGCACAACACCAGCAGCTCCCCTCTCCCCCACGCTAAGAGGTGCCATAAACAGTAGGTGGTGCTGCCACCAGTATTATGAAGCTGTGCTGGCCCTCGCAAGCATAGTTCACAGTGATAAAACTAATGATAAATGGATGGCACGTGTGTGTGTGTGTGTGATGAGGGGGAAAGAAGTTCTCTTATTCTACTTTATATCTTATTCTATTAACTATTACATTGGCGACTGTTGTGCTTCATCAGGCCAGAGTATAAATTCGAGGATGCAGATTGACAGATACAACTTCAACTGTAGCGAAAGCGGCTGATACAAGCCAGAAACATAACGGGGCTAGAACGTATCAGAACTATATCACTGCAAATCTGTGAAACCATATTAGAACTAGGAAAGCATAGGAGAATAACAGGTAGAACACAGAGAACTAATACAGCGTTACAGAACCGGAATAATATAGAACTCTGTTAGTTTAGGCACAAATATGAACATGAAAGGAGGGAGCCAGAGCTTGTAAACAAAAGTATCAGAGTGTTAATTTGCTAGGCTCTGTTACACTCCCTGGTTCGTACCGGGTGTACAAGTAAACACCAGTAATGGGATATCTTGGGTGCCATCCTCAAACTTTTGTTATTCTTTCTCGACACAGAGACTTTATATTCGTGCTTAATAAATCGAAATGTGAAACTGGGTGGCGGAATGTACATTATAATGATGTAGAAAAACATATTGTGATTAAACAAACGCTTTGAACGTACCGTATTAAATTGTCAACCTCTGATGACTGTTTGCTAATATTATATTCCTGGGGAAGCGTTCACCTCGTGGGGGTCAAACAACGCCTAGAGAATGGCAGATAATTAAGTTTGATTCAGTCAAGAAGATAATGGGCTAAATAATTTAATTTAACAAGGAAATGGTTTATATCTACATTCTTAGGTATAAGACACAAAATATCACCAACATATCTATACCACTTAGCTCTATTAGGAAGGTTTGTGTCTTATGCCTAAGAATGTGGATATAAACCATTTCATTGTTAAGTTTAATAGTTTAGCTCATTCTATATATTTTACTGTTGAGTTTAAAGAAAATAACTCATTCCCTTTCCTAAATGTTTTAATTATTAAGGGTAACAACGATTTTAAATTTAAAATTTACAGAAAACCACAAAATAACTGTTCCTATGTACACTATTATTTTTCACATCAAGATATACCTTTGAAGAGTTTCGAGAGTTTCACTACTCTCGGAGCCCGGTCATGGACCAGACTCGTCTGGTGCTTTCTTGGTCAACCAGGCTGTTGCTGCTGGAGGCCTGCTTCCCCACATATCCATCACAGCCAGGGTGGTCTGGCACCTGGCAAGATATCCAGTTTCCTCTTGAAGTCTTGTACACTTGTTCCAGCCGTGTTTCTGATATCTTCTGGTAAGATGTTGAATAGTCAGGGACCCTGGATGTTGATACGGTGTTCCCTTATTGTCCCCACCGCACCCCTGCTGCTCACTGGATTTATTTTGCACTTCCTCCCATATCTCTCACTCCAGTATGCTGTTGTGGTAGTGTGCAGATTTAGGACCAGGCCCTCGAGTACTTTCCAGGTGTATATTATTATGTATTTCTATCTCCTCCGCTCCAGTGAGTATATGTTCAAGACTTGCAGGCGTTCCCAGTAATTTAGGTGTTTTACTGGCTCATTGTGAGCCGTAAACGATCTCTGTATTTGTTACAGCTCAGATATTTCTCCTGCTTTGAACGGGGCCGTCAGCACTGAGCAATATTCTAAATGAGGGAGCACTAGCGATTTGAAGAGTGTCACCAACGGCATTATTTCCTTGTTTTGAAAGTTCTCAATACCCACCCCGTCATCTTCCTGGCTGTCATGATCTTTGTCTTGTTATGGTCTTTAAAAGAAAGGTCAGCTCATATAATTATTCCCAGTTCTTTTACGTGTTCCTTTCGTTCTATTTGGTGACCCTCTTGAGTTTTGTATACAGTGTTCCTTTTGAGTTCTTCATTCTTTCCATACCTAAGCAGCTGGAACTTATCACCATTGAACGTCATGTTTTTCTCCACTGCTCACTGGCAAATCCTGCTTATAATTTCCTGTAATTTGCCAGTGTCCTCTACCGTACTGACTTTCATGCTTATTGTAGTATCATCTACCAATGATGATACAAAAGTGTGACTGGTGTTTTTATCTATGCTATGAAGATTAACAGCAGAGGTGCCAGGACAGTGCCTTGGGGCACTGAGCTTTTTACCTCGCTGATGGTGGATGTTGCTCTGTTTACTACTTTTTACGTTCTGTGTGTTAGGAACCCGAAAATCTATCTGTCTACCTTCCCCGTAATGCCCATGACCCTCATTTTGTGCGCTATCACTCCATGATCGCATTTGCAAAATCTGTTCAAATCACATCTGCGTTTTGGTCGTCTTCCAATGTCTCCGTAATTCTGTCATAATGGTTCAGCAGCTGTGACAGACATGATCATTGTGCTCTAAAACTATGCTGGTTCGGGTTATGCTGGTTGTGCTGCTCCATGAAATTTGTAATCTGCCGTCTCATTACTCTTTCGAAGATTTTTATGATAGAGTTTTTATGATAGAGCTAAACTGTCTTTATTTTCATCAATGCTTTTGAGAGCTTTATGTATTTGTAGCCCAGAGTTCATAGATGATGAAACTTCCAAAAATTATGAAATAGGTAATGATCTAAAATACCCATTAAACTTAATTGATAAATTCTTTAAAATTGCTAGAAATACTTTTTACAATTCAAAAAAGGGACAACCAACCTTATTCAACTAAAAGTATGTTGGTTCTCCCTTACCATGAAAACTTGGATGATATGCCTTCTCTACTTAAGAATTTTAATGTTAAAGTTGTATTTAATAATCTTAATACAATTAAAAAAAATTGATAAAAAAAATTACCCACACACTGCTGACGGATGTCTTTACGATTTCTTGTCAAATATGTGATAATATAAGGTGTGTTTCACGAATCACTGACTACCTACCTACATCATCATAAAAAGTCAGGTGTTGTTGGGGGTGGCAGCGAGGTGTAGTCTCGTCCTTATATGCCTTCATGTTAACCTTTTATTTTTATAGCTCCTTGATAATGTGAGAAGTCACGAAAGCGCTTGGAATTTCGCTATTCTCTCTCTCTCTCTCTCTCTCTCTCTCTCTCTGTCATATATATATATATATATATATATATATATATATATATATATATATATATATATATATGTCGTGCCGAATAGGCAGAACTTGCGATCTTGGCTTAAATAGCAACGCTCATCTTGCCATATAGGACAAGTGAAAATTTGTGTATGCAATAATTTCGCCAAAATCATTCTGAACCTAACGAAAAAAATATATTTCACTGGGTTTGTTTAGTATTAAATTATTGTAAACAAATCTAAAATATATTTAGTTGCGTTAGGCTAAAATAAATTGTTCTTTTTATAATAAGGTTAGGTAAGTTTTCTAAGTTCCTTTTGGTGCAAAATTATAATTTTTTACATCAACATTAATGAAAAAAATATATCTTAAAATGTACAAGAGAAAATTTAAGAAAGGACTTAATTTTAAATGAGTTCTTGCTAATTGACCAGTTTTACATATTCGGCACGATATATATATATATATATATATATATATATATATATATATATATATATATATATATATATATATCAATCATACTCAAAAAACTTTTTTCAAAGAAAAAAGTTTTAAGCTATTGACTTTTATTAAACAAAAGTTCCAATGCACGGCACTGAACAACATTTTTTTGAGACCAGGCTTTCAAGTTGCTGGTATTGGTGATGACGGTAGACTGTGATGATAATACCTATAAAATTATGAGTTGTGATCCCATAAAAAAACTACTGAAGTGTGTGTGCATCATTATTTCTTGCTTCACATGAGGTAACACGTGTGTAGAGCCCGGCCTCTTGTAACCCACATTATGCAAGGGGTCAGGGATTCGGCACGGTGTAGTCTTCAAACTGACACACAAGACCCAATGTAATTTTATACCTCGGTTCTACTTCCTGAGTTGTTAACGTGTCTTGCATCTGTGATGAAATTGGTCAGGGCTTCAAATGGCTGGGAGCGGTGAAGGGTACAAGTCTCTCCGGCGTTATAGCATTCTGTAAAAAAAAAAAATTTACGTTTCTTAATGTTCGTAACCTACGTAGCTGCAGCCTGGCCTGAAGCCAGGCTTCCCTGGTGACCTGGTCCACCAGGCTGCTGGTGCTAGCGATTTGCTGACCTTCATAGCCATCACAACCCGGCTGATCAAGCACATGCATGACGGGGTTGTCCAGTTTATTCCTGAAAACTTTCATCGTCTTTGCTCTTATGTTTGTGGTATATACTGGTAACAGACTGAAGAGTCTTGGACCAGGAATAAAGACTCATTTTAACTACGGTGGCTCTGCTTTTCACTGAGCTTATTCTTCAGCATGACTCACGAAATCGTAATAGCACTGTGTTCAAACCTCGCCCGTTCCTTGGTTCGGTTTATTCTACATTTCTGCACAGGAGGGAAGATGTGGAACGATAATGATGATGCTGATGATCTTGAAGGAAGGTTTTTGATGATTTGAAGTGAAGATGTGTATCTCTCTTTCTGGTATCTTTGGCCTTTATGACACCTACTCTTGAAGCTGTGTATTGAATTTGCCTCCACCACTTTCTGACCCAGCTCATTCCATTTTTCAACCACCCCGACACTAATACTTCCTAACAGCCTCGTTGTTCATTTGTGTAAGTAAGTAAATAAGTTTATTCAGGTATACACAAATATAGTAGCAACATATGTTTAGAGAACCTAGGATAACCCAAAAAAGTCAGACAGAATGACTTATTTCCACCAGTGTCATCGTGTGTGTGTGTATACACGTACATACGTGGGTACATGTATGCTATAGTATTGTAGATGTGAATGGTAAGCTCCTCCCTCTGCCCACCTGTTGCTTCGGCCGCGCGCCGCTAGAGGGCTGCCACCAACCTCTCGGGGAACCACTCTCTACAATTCTTTCCCTATCCTCTTGATTCCCCCTGATCATCCCTCAGTTTTTATCTTTGCAAAAGTTGGCTCATGATTCGCTAACTCGTTAATGCTTACCTAAAATACATTACTGTACACTTTTCGCCACATCTGGCATGGATATGTAAGGTGCACTCGCATGGCTGATGATAGCTCAGTCACCCTTTGGCAGTTCTGTCTTGGAAAGAGGTCTTGCACCTCGTGTGAAGTTAGTCGGTGTTTGGCTACTGTGACGGTGATGTATGCCGGGTTATGTCGCTCTTGTTGAACGGTGTCAATCAGTGCATTTCCAGCATGGGCTCACTAGAGTTGCAGGAGATCCTCGGTAAGAAAGACGATCTTATCCGTGATCTGGAGCAGAAGCTGAAATTTCGGGAGAATGAGATTACGGAGCTGAGGTCGCAGCTGGATAAGTTCCAGAGTGTTATTCCATATGCGACGGTCGGAGCGTCGAGCACTACCAAGGACCGGGCTCGCAAGACCAGGGCCCAGGGCATCTCTGCTGAACCCCAGACGCTGAAGACAGTCCAGGAGCTGGCAGTCCTCAGCCAGACCACCTTCCCTGAAGTCCCCAAATCCTTAAGGTATGGAACCACTGTCGTAGTTCCCAGGCGCTGTATGAGAACCTGGAAAAGTGTTGCAACAACACTTGCTCATTGACATCTTTACCGACTTGATAACAATGAAAACTTGCTGTGTCTACCTGTCTTCCTCTGTCTGTTCTTATTGTAGACAGCCGATCTTAATCCAAGACAAACCACTGGGGATGATAGAGGGATGGAAATCTTCAGCTCAAGCAGACGTGTGAAACATCTTATGCTGGAAATTTCCATTTCCCCGTGGTTTGTCTTGCATATATGGAAGAAATCACAATAAAACACGTAATTGTAAATATGAAAAAATACCACAGTTAAAATAGGAAATAAAGCCTGAGTTCCTTCATGTACTTATATCTGAAGACGTGCGTTTAAGCACATGAAAGCGGTATTTTCTCCACACACACACACACACACACACACACACCACACACACACACCATATATATATATAAATATATATATATTATATATATATATATATATATATATATATATATATATATATATATATATATATATATAATATAATGTCGTGCCGAATATGTAAAACTGGTCAATTAGCAAGAACTCACTTAAAATTAATTCCTTTCCGAAATTTTCTCTTATACGTTTAAAGATATATTTTTTCATTAATGTTAATGTAAAAATTTATAATTTTGCACCAAAAGAATCTTAGAAAACTTACCTAACCTTATTATAACAAGAGCAATTTATTTTAGCCTAACCAAACTAAATATATTTTAGATTTGTTTACAATAATTTAATATTAAACAAACACAGCGAAATATATTTTTTTCGTTAGGTTCAGAATGATTTTGGTGAAATTATTGCATACACAAATTTTCGCTTGTCCTATATGGCAAGATGAGCGTTGCTATTTAAGCCAAGATCGCAAGTTCTGCCTATTCGGCACGACATATATATATATATATATATATATATATATATAATATAAATATATATATATATATATATATATATATATATATATGCAATAAGATCACAGTAAACAGGTGATTTTAAAATATGCAAAACAACCACTGTGAAAGAGTAGTGAAATTCCAAGCGCTTTCGTGACTACTCACATTGTCAAGGAACTATGGTTCCTTGATAATGTGAGTAGTCACGAATGCGCTTGGAATTTCACTACTATTTCACAGTGGTTGTTTTGCATATATATAATATATATATATATATATATATATAATATATATATATATATATATATATATTATATATATATACACACAGTGGAACCTCAAATATCGAACTTTCTTCGGTCCAGAAGGCTGTTCGAGTGCCTTTACCGATGAATTTATTCCCATCAGGAATAATGTAAATTAGATTAGTCCATTTCAGACCCTCAAAAATACACTTATAAAAGCACTTACAAAAATACACCTACATTGGTCGTGTTGGGAGCAGTTCGAATTTTGAATTTCCACTGTACAAAATATATATATATATATATATATATATATATATATATATTTATTATATAATATATATATATTATATATATATATATATAATGTCGTGCCGAATATGTAAAACTGGTCAGTTAGCAAGAATTCATTTAAAATTAAGTCCTTTCTGAAATTTTCTCCTATACGTTTAAAGATATATTTTTTTTCATTAATGTTAATGTAAAAAATTTTAATTTTCACCAAAAGGATCTTAGAAAACTTACCTAACCTTATTATAACAAGACCAATCATATTTTAGCCTAACCCAACTAAATATATTTTAGATTTGTTTACAATAATTTAATACTAAACAAACATAGTGAAATATATTTTTTTCGTTAGGTTCAGAATGATTTTGGCGAAATTATTGCATACGCAAATTTTCACTTGTCCTATATAGCAAGATGAGCGTTGCTATTTAAGCCAAGGTAGCAAGTTCTGCCTATTCGGCACGACATATATGTATGTATATGTGTGTGTGTGTGTGTATTATATGTCGTGCCGAATAAATAAAACTTGCGATTTTGGCTTAAATAGCAACGCACTTCTTGCTGAACAGGGCAAGTGAAAATTTGTGTATGCAGTAATTTCGCAAAAATCATTCTGAATCTAACAAAAAAATATATTTCATTGTGTTTGTTTAGTATTAAATTATTGTAAACTTTTATAAAATATATTTAGTTGGATTAGGCTAAATTAAATTGCGCTTGTTATAATATGGTCAGGTCAGTTTCCTAAAGGTTCTCTTGGTACAAAATCATTAATTTTATATTAACATAAATGAAAAAAATATAACCTTAAATGTGTAAGAGAAAATTTTAGAAAGGACTGAATTTTAAATGTGTTCTTGCTAATGGTCCAGTTTTACCTATTCGACACGACATATATATCATCAGCGATACGCAGTGTATTAAATATTGTTCTTCGTCAGCCGTTTATTGTGTTATTAGTTATTGCTGTTCAGCCATTTAGGATACACATGTTATTGTTCTTCATTCATTTAGAATACAATTCCTGTTATAGTTGTTCAGCAGCGATGTATGACACTTGTAATATTAGCGCTTAGTTTTGATGTTGATACTAATATAGTTCTTCAACCATATACAGTATTAAACACGTTATACATCAGCCATACACGTTACTGTGCTCATCAGCCATACTCGTTACTGTGCTCATCAGCCATACTCGTTACTGTGCTCATCAGCCATACTCGTTACTGTGCTCATCAGCCATACTCGTTACTGTGCTCATCAGCCATACTCGTTACTGTGCTCATCAGCCATACTCGTTACTGTGCTCATCAGCCATACTCGTTACTGTGCTCATCAGCCATATACGGTACTGTGCTCATCAGCCATACTTGTTACTGTGCTCATCAGCCTTACACGTTACTGTGCTCATCAGCCATATACGGTACTGTGCTCATCAGCCATACTTGTTACTGTGCTCATCAGCCTTACACGTTACTGTGCTCATCAGCCATACACGTTACTGTGCTCATCAGCCATATACGGTACTGTGCTCATCAGCCGTGTACGGGATATTTCATTCGGTATTACAGGTAAGTCATATAGTAAATAAACACACAGTAAATAGAGTAATATACATAAATCTGATTTCGCAGCGAATGTTATACATTTTTCAGCTGTGTTGATGCTCTTATAGTGTTGTTATTCTTGAGTCTTTGCCAATAGTCCTCATGGGATGTAATTTGTCGTTCTTTTGATGGTTAACGAGGCAGACTGATGACAGGCTGGACTCTAAACGCTAGTCTCCCTCCTTAGCTCTTGGTGTGACGATACGTGACTGCAATATGTGGGATACATGACTGCAAGATACGTGACTGCAACGTGCCTGTTGCATGACTGCAACATGCAGGATGCATGACTGCAATGTGCAGGATGCACGACTGCAATATGCAGGATACATGGCTGCAACATGCAGGATACATGACTACATGCAGGATGACTGCAGCATGCAGGATGACTGCAGCATGCAGGATGCATGACTGCAGCATGCAGGATACATGACTGCAGGATGCATGACTGTAACTTGCAGGATGCCTGACTGCTGTAACTTGCAGGATGCGTGACTCCAACATGCATGATATATGACTGCAATATGTGTGTGGGATACATGACTGCAAGATACATGACTGCAACGTGCAGGTTGTATGACTGCAATATGCAGGATATATGACTGCAAGATACGTAACTGGAACGTGCAGGATACCTGACTGCAACATGCAGGATGAATCTTTAGTGATCATAGATCATTTGACGTTGCATCACGACGGAAGAAGGAACAGTGTCTGCAAGAAGAATAAAATAGGCATTACTCTTTCTGGATTATTATAATTTGAGGGGGGAGCGCAAAAACCCGTAGGGATTACGCAGCGCCGGGAAAGGGGGGAATGGAAGGTATTCAAACATTTCAGGGACCGCACAGTCCAATTCCCTAATCAAGAACCCCTACAGCGTAAAGGAACCCTTCCCTTAAGGGGTTTCCCGGGATGCAACAAAACAAATAACCCCAATACTTTAAAAAGGGGGAAATCTTGCAATATCAGACGCAAAAAGTGTGGTTCTTTTTAATTAGTTGTGTGTACATATTATATATATATATAAAATTTAATAATTTTTAAAAATTTTTTTTAAAAAAAATTTTTATAATATATATATATATTTGGATTTGGGGGGAATGTTGTGTATTTTTATGTGTAGCTTCTGATGTTGTTTTCTGGCACCCTGCAAAAACGTGATAAGTGCAGTGGGTAAAGTGTTGAATTTGATGAAATATTTTTTTTTTTGGGGTTTTTTTTTTTTTTTTGGGTCACCCTGCTGGGTGGGAGACCCATTTTTAAAAAAAAAATTTATATATAATTATTAATTATAAAAAATATATATTTTTATTATAAAAATATATATATAATTATATATATAAAAAAAATATATTTTATGTCGTGCAAATAGGCAGAACTTGCGATTTGTTAAATAGCAACTTTCATTTTGCCTAAGGACAAAAGTGAATATTTGTGTATGCAATAATTTCGCCAAAAATCATTTGAACCTAACGAAAAAAATAATTTCACTGTTTTGTTTTATTAAAAATTTTTGTAAACAAATCTAAAAAAATATTTATTGGTAGGCTAAAAAAAATTGTTCTTTTTAAATAAGGTTAGGTAAGTTTTCTAATTCCTTTTTGTGCAAAATTATAAAATTTTGGTAAAGTTTGGTAGAGTTATTTTGAAAGAATTAAGAGAAACGGGGAATAGGATAGCAGTGAAACAAGGGGCTTTAGGAAAGGTAGGGGGTGTGGGACCAGGTGTTTACGTGAAACATATAAGTGAAAAAGTATTTAGATAAGGAAAAGAGGTTTGTGGCATTTATGGATTTGGGAAAGGCGTATGACAGGGGGGATAGGGGGGGCAATTGCAGATTTGCAAAGGGATGGGTGAGGGGTTTTGAAAGCAGTGAAGATTTTTCGAGGATAGTGAGGCCAATTAGAGTATGTAGGAAAGAGGAATTTTTTCCCCAGTAAAAGTAGGCCTTAGACAAGGATGTGGATTCACCGGGTTGTTTAATTATTTATAGATGGGGTTTAGGAAGAATGCGAGGGTCCTTGCAAGAGGCGTGGGTTAAAAGTAAGAA